TAATCTAGTTCAAGAGAGGCTACAAAGACCAACCTTTTAAACCAAAGGGACTCAGGATTTTGAAATAGGTCAGCCCTGTATTTGTTGGCAAATTGCACCACTGCAAAAATTGAAGTCCACAGAAAGGGACCAGGATAAATGTGGAGGGCAGTTAACAGTAAGTCTGAAAGGTGGGACATTCCCAACCTCTCCTGAGCCAAACCAACCTCCTGATCATAACTGTGTGTGAGGCACACCCACTTTTAAGTTCAGAGATGGCAGAGCTTATCTACATTGTGATTTAACCTACCCAAAAGCCTGCTTCCAAATACTGTAATCCCCTTTGCTTAAGTGACCTGACCAGGATCCCTGCTTATTACGTATACCCAAAGCAGCAAACAAGGAACCTTAAAAAAAAAGAAAAAAAGTTACTTATCCATTCTTATGGAGGCTACTAACCAGCGCTATGTCTATTCTAATTGATAACTCAGTACTTCCAATCTGACCAAAAAAAAAGAAAAGAAAAAAAGAAAAAACTATCCATTCCCAAAGCAGAAAAAAAAATCTTCAGCGTTGAGTGTGGCTTTATGTTCCAATGGGAAAATCTCATTAAATTTAATCACACCTTTCCTTAATCCTTTAAAATGCTACCTTTTATCAAACCCAAGGGCATTTCTGAGTATTTCTGGACTTAAGCATTTATGACATCTCTTTTCTACTCCACCGCCAGTTTTTGTATCAATATCACACTTCTTTAGCCATGAGAGGCTTACAATTATCTTGTAATATCTGTTAGGGCATAATCTTGGCTCAGTTTCTTTTTTTAAAAAAAACCGTACTCTTCCAAGAGTGTATGGTTCCCAGTAAGCTTTCACCATCTGCTTGTCCTTTTCTACAGAAAAGCTCAATGGGATTTTTGAGTGATTCTCTGTATTTATAAATATATTAGGGTAAAATTTACACCTTTACAGTCTGAGTCCTCCTATAATTCTTATGTATTCGGTTCTTCTTTAACACTCTTCAGGGTGTCTCGGCCCCTCACAGAGGATGCGCACTGCTGGCAGGTGTTTCCCAGGGATCTTTGCGGGCTCAGCCCATGGAGAATGGGCCACTCTTACTCCACTTCTGGCAGCTTAATAACGCCACGCTATCTAAGTTCACAGTTCACGTCTTCATGATTCTCTGCATTAGTTATATAGTCTAAAATAATCATTCTTCCTTGTTCATATGTACAGCTCCTCCCCTTCCATGTTTATTTTGCTGCACTCCAGGATCTAAGCGATGAAAGTAACAGAAACCATGCTTACCTTGTTTCTGACCCTACTGACTATACTTTCCATGTTTCAACTTTCTTGAGTTCAAATTATTCGCTTTTATGTATTCCAATAGGAATAAGGTGAAACCATATTCTGATTTTCTAAATTCTGAAACATAAAGACACTAGTTTTTCGATGAAGGCTTTACAGAGCTTGTTCACAAACCATCTGGATTTATCATCGTGTTAAATTTTTAGCAACTATCCCAAGTCCATTTGAGCATGTTTTCCCAGAAAAAGGTCTATTTCGTCTGTCTCCTCACATTTAAATATGAACTTGTGAATTAAGAAATTTCTCCATGACAGTTTCATAGCTTTCTCAATCCTGATGCTATCAGGATGTTCACCCTTCCTTTAGAGCGCACACTTGCCTGAGAGTTGGTTTCATTAGCACTGCAAAGACACAGCTACCAGCTTTAATGGTCCCAAAGCAATTGCTTTATTTCCTATTTCAATTAACTTCTATTTGTGCCTTCATTGATTCCTTTCTCAAGTTACACATATCACTTTCTGTGTTTCTTGTCTTCTGAAACGATCACTTATGGCAACATAAAAAAAAAAAAAAATGAGTATCAAAGAAATTGGCTGCATCTGGAAGGTCTTAAAGAATAATTACCCTGTTGTTTATTTCCACAACAGTTCAGTGGTTTACTTTTTATTTTCTCTGTTCCCTGAGGAATTTATGTGTGTTTAGTTACCAGGTAAATTTTATAGGTTTTGTTTTCGTAGAGGGAAGGGGATTTTTATTAATATTATATTAAATTGTAGACTTGTTATCTATTAGTCAACTATTAGATATGTCTGAAAAATGTTTCACACCACTCTAGGTGTGTGGCTTACAAAAAGTTCTATGTGAGTCTTGCACCTGTGACTCCCACCCATCTCGCCTGCTCACTCTCTATTTCTGAGCAGCATGAAGCTTCTCTGCATGATGCTATTCTCCCCTCAAACTTCCCAGGGTTTCGGCTGACACGGTTTCATCCCTTTAGGCACATAATAGAGTATTTTGGTGAACTGTACCTTTCACCAACAATTTAATCATGTACGTTCATTTCTACATTTGAATTATTTTTTGACTTATATGTTTGCTTTTTTAGCATTGCTTGAAGTATTTTTATCCATCCTTCTATATTCAAATTTTCTATTTCATTTGATTTTAGGTGCATTTCTCCTGAACATGTCAGAGACAGAGACCATACACAAAGTCCACACTAAATGCTTGGCAGGTCCTACGAATATAAATACTCTGCATGTTTTCTGTTCAGGGACGTTTCCTTCCATTACTTTTTACATCTTCTCTCCCCTCTGAGAAGTCCCAATAGCTGAGCAGTGAGACACCTGGCTCTGACCTCCAACTCTTAAATATCTCCAGGACCTTTCATTTGTCTGTCGATTTGCAACATATCCTCAGAGGCACCTAAAATTTAACCTCTTGGTTAAATGAATTGATCTTCTGTTTGTCCATCTAAGAATTATTCTTTCCCACTGGGTTCAGGGTACTGAGACGGCATCTTTAATTTTCAAGACTCCGAAGCGGTCGGTTCCATAGCAGCAGCCTGTGGATCTGCTCCTGGATTTCTCCGAGTGCTAATTCCACTGTTAACATCTTCTCCTCACTCATGATCTAGGGCCGTTTCCACCGTCTTCTTGCATCTGATGCCTTTCTTATCTCTGCTTTGTCCTAAGTTGTAGATGCACTGAGACAAAACATCTTTGGTAGCCAAAGTACATTTCTTCAGCTTACATTTTTAGTCTTATTCCTTTGGCAGTAAATACAGATTCTGGTTTCATAACCCTACAGAAGCCTGCCTTGGAAGAGGAAGCAGTGGCGAGTGAACGTAACTGTGGGGCTCACATGGAGGATAGGAAGGGGTAGGCCATAAATACTCAATTTTGTGACATCCTGAGCTACGCTGGGTACTTCCCAAGTAATAGCTAATATTTTGGAAAACTAAACTTAGGCCAGTCTATGGGCAAAGGCCAGAAACGATTTTTGAAATCAGCATTTTGGCCTAATTTTCAGCCTTTAATCAATTACCTGGCAAACACTAACATCCCACTCCTTAGCCTCCCCACCTTTGATTTGGAAAACTCTGCACTGTAGAAAACCTAGTTGTCCAGCGCTGCCATCTTCTCTGCATTTATGTGTAACATCACCAACTGATACCATCTCCCATATGTCTTCCTCATTAATTTCCTCTATAGACGGAAAATTTTTTAACTATATATTTACCCATAGTTTTGGTAAATTTTATTAGAATCTGAAATGAAGAAAAGGCAAGGTAGCCGTTTTGTGAAGCAGAGCTGGTCTGATACTTTTCAGGGCCTACCTTGCAAATCTGTTCCAGAAGTCAGTAATTAAGGAGGAAGAACGTTACCATACACTTAAGAATAAGGGACGGACCCATCAAGGTCCACAGCAAACCATCAGCAGGTGCCTGAGGACTTCACTTCTTTATTTAGAAGAAGTAAAATATACGGCAAACAATATTCCTGCCCTCATCATGATGGTAGATTAGAAACTAAACAGAAAACTATTTTACTTGAGATAGTAACAAGTTGTTTGAGAAACATCACACATGATGCAGGGACAGAGAGCAGCTATGAGTGGGGCAGAGTCAGGCCTGTGAGCCGCTGAGTCCCGAGAGGGTGTGTCAGTCCAAAGGAGAAGGTGATTCAACTCAACAGCTGACTGTTGGCAGGGAAGGCTAAAGTCATGGGGTCTTCTATTCTCTCAGCAATCTCAAAGCCCCACTTTCCATACAGAGTAGAAAGCACGTGGAATCAGGTATTAGTGACAGTGATAAGTGACTGAGCAATCAGTGCCCAGGCAGCTGAGAGGTGTGAACTGTTAGAGCCTGAAGCCAAGGAAAACATAAACTTGTGCACTGAATTAAACTAAAAAAAAAAAAAAAAAAAAAAAATTAAAAATGAAATAAAAAGGTAATGGTGACTTAAGAAACACTATACACTTGCATACAACACTTTAAATGTTTCAAATCATTTCCACTTAGAGAAAAGAACACATAAGTTTAAACATTTAAAATTTATTCCCCCTCAAAAATCTTGAAAGATAGGCTGGAAATTCCAATTCATAATCTCCATTTTTAAGAGGAATAACAAAAACATACAAAGAGGAAAATAAATGGTCAAGGGTCACATAACAAATGGAAGTATTAAAAGAAAACTGCAATTTCTCATCTTCTCGAGTTAGGCCTTCTCGTCTGTAAGTCGCTCAGTAATAAAAACCGCACGGATACTTGTGTACTTCCCTTGTGCCATCATTACCAGTTTACTTTTCTTTTAAACTGTGGGCCTTCCCTAAATTCTTCTGTCTTCTGAAAATATATGCTAAGACTTTGGTTCTACAATTTTCCTATTTAACTTCAACACTTTTTATATATTTGGCACCCAGGAAATTTAATATATTAATTTAATAAATTATAACCTGGCAAGAAAATCAACACTGATTAAAACTGAAAGGTACAGAAACTCTCTCTCTAGTTCTCCTTTCCCAACAACTCTGCCCTGACGCTTTCATTCACTGGATTATTTTATAAGACAATAAGCCAATCATATATTTAGACCTAAGGAAAACACAGAATAAGTCCCGGCATTTTCATAATTGCATGCAGGAACAAGATGCAACCTCCCAGACCACTAAAAGGGATCTACAACATTCAAACAAAAGCTGCAACATACTCACTTTTATCTATGCTGCCATAGGAATCACTTGAAATTTGCGTTCCAATATGTCTCAACTCTAAAAACATGGGGGGAAAAATAGGTAAGAAGAAAAAAAACTTTCTGTCAAAATAATTTTTATGTAAATATTAACTGAATACTCACCCTTTTCATTTTTCTGTTTAGAAAATTCACCAAGCCGTTCCTGTGGAAAACAAAACACTACTAGTGTTTGTGCTGGATAAGAAACACAGTCACTCTGCACCAAACATCAAGAGGCAACTTAACAGGCAGCCATGACTGCTGCTGCCGGCGCTCACACCCGGCTCCTACTCAGTCATTACGCTCCAGGAGCCTGCAGCCAGGAAATTAACATACATGTACCCTGCTTTTGTGTAGTACCTGTGTCTTCTTAAATTCCTTTTCAAGTATTTTCTTTTCATTTCTCAGTTGCTTGAAGTCCTGAGTTTGCTTGACAGCAGCCTCTTCATTTAAAAATTGCAATGCAGCAATAAAGAGAGAAAAACAATCCATTAACTTTATTACTATGGTTGATAAAATACTCAAATTCTAATCTATTACAAGTTTTTCTCATTTCTTAAAATTTTGAAGAAAAATTTGTACAAAGTTACTGCTCTTTCATATTTTATCAGCCAGGACTGACTGCAGGAATACTTCTTTTTCACTGTCATTTATAAAGCCAAAGAATAAGAATGGGCCTTCTGAAGTCTGCCTCACTAGGCACACCAATTCCAAACTCTTCTGCTCAGGCAGGACCCCAATGCATGAGAGAGGTGCTACGGTACCTCTTGTTCTTCCCAGCTCAATAAACAGCAACCTTAACGTGGCAAGGTTTAGAACTGTTCCTCTACCTCAGAAGATAGTTCACAGCATTGTCTTTACCTGGTGCAGGAGCCAGGAGAACTTCGTGATGCCTGTTACACTGTAGATACTACTTTTGTCCCTGGAACTCTCCTCACCAAGTTAACTAACCATTATTCCCAATACTTTTGATAGGCATCCTCTTTTTACTTATTTTTACAGCTCTTCTGTGACCCTTCAGCACCTTTATCCAGTTTTGGTTCGAAAGCACTATGTGGTTCAGACACACTGTGAAGTATCTGACTGGTATTAGCTTTACAGGAATATGCTCGTAAAATCCCATAAAACCCCTTAGTAACAATTCTCTCCTGATTCCTCTAACACTTCAAGTATTTCTTTACTCAATAATTTTTGTTATGCCTTATCACTTACAAGAAAAATATATCTCTATTACGTTAAAAACAAAGGCCACATTTTTGCTTCACACAGAGTCTATTCTAAAAGTTGCATATCATCTCAGAGGCATCTTAGGTCTCTTTAAAAACATTTCCTCAAATACAGTAGACACATCCAGCAAAGAAATACTCAGAAGGAACAGAGTAATTGTGCACTAAGTACTATGAGGTAATGCAACAACCACATTCAAGGAAACATTCTTACCAATATATTTACAGAGTTTAAGTCTAAACTATTTGGCTCAACAATATACATAAATCAGTGACTGGAGATACTTTTAACAACTATTCTACATGACCTGACACAACTAAATTTAAACTCTTACTGCACACTCTAAATGACACTAAAGCAGCTCTGAGGCAGAGCACCAGCAGTGCTAAGGGGCAGAAACGCACAGCAGGGGAGGACGGCTGCTGTCCAGGCTGGAGCACAGGAGGACCACAGACAGGAGGGAGCTGATGGGCCCTTCTGTCTCCACCTGACATTATGTCCAAGTCCCAACCATACAACAGAGGGAAGAAAAAGCAAATGAAAGTTCCCAAGTTGGATTTCTAGGGATTCAGGACTCACAGACTTCACAGATTTGTGTGGCCCCTTTGCACTCTGCCTTGTCATTGTAGACCAGAAGACCCTGACAAGACCGTGGGCATGTGGAGGATCAGGTACAAATCAGACAATCCCCAATGTAAAGAATCTCACGGAAACTTCTCTATGAGTGTGTTATAACTGTATAAATATATCAGTAGCTCGATACTAAGCACAGTAACCTTTTCTACTAACTATAACATTTTATTAGAAAACAATGAGAAAATCCATGAGATTCAACTTTCAAAATTAAATCCTTTCCATTAATTGCTGCTTTTATAGCAAAAGTATGAGTGCTCTACTAGTTCAGGGCAATAATGTCTCAAGGATTTGCCCCACTCCATCTCTATATAACCATCTGGTGACTGAGAGGAAGATTGTCACACAGGTCACTTGAAAGTTTTGAGACAGACTGTTATGGTTCATTATTTCACTTCCAAGAAAGACACCAACAGCGTCCCTTCTGATTCACCTGTGCACATTTCACCTTGCTCGCCTTAGTGATGCTGCTGGGAGGGCTTCGTTTGTTTCCATCTGTGGAGATTTTATGTTTCTTGATTCTTGTGTGTCTCAAAACTTGCATGATGACCCACGTAATAGTTCTTTCTAACAAACCCCTTAATGAAGTCACCCATGGATGTGCCATCAAAAAACATCACAACTCAACCATGATCAAGTAGTACGTCATAGTTACCAACGATTTGCATAATGACCAATGACTTCCATTAGCCAGGTGACAATAGTGCCAATTACCTTCCAGCTTCTTCACCTTAGCTTCTAGTTTCTTCTTCCTAACAATAAAATTTTCAAAGTTAAATGGCAAAAAATAATCTAACAGAAAAAAATGCAATATTACATTTGGTACATTTGTACATTTTTTCAATAACTAAGATTTATATAATATTCCATGTCAACAACTAAAACTGCAATTGTTCTGATAGTATAAACCGAAGAAAGCGTAACACACTGTGTAGTGTACAGTGTCTCTATGGTGAAATAAAACAATCTGTCCTTTCCATTTGAAACACAGGCTAAGCACCTTTCTAGGCTCTGCGATAAGCACGTCTGGAACCTCCCATAAACTGCACTAGCATTATTGATGAGCCTAGATGTGTCCAAATGGTCTCCATGAGCCATCCCAGCATCTAATGAGTCACTGTTCCTTTTCAGGAGTACAAATGGTGTTGTGTGCACAGCACCACAGTATGGAGGGCAGTGGCTGGAGAACTGCACTTGCTTTAAGGTAGATTTCTGAGACTTGGAGAAGGCAAATGACTCCTGAGTCACTGCTGTATCATGACCACATTCAACTACTACATATATAGCCCACATGTATTTTTTTGCGAATAACATAAATATAGTATCAAACTTCAAAATCAAGAAGGTGCTTTTGAACACCCCTTCTTACTTATGGTAAAAAGACACCCATTCCACATGGTATCTATTAAAGTTCTGGTACAAAAAAGAAAGGAGCCAGTAACTGTTTTGATACGCAGAGACACACGTGCATGCACATATACATGAGAACTTCCATGAAGGTCCTTCTTTGTGCAGCCCTTTAATGTGTGACAATTTATTTAATATTCCTTGTCACCCTTCAAAGTAAGTATAATAATGTAAAGCTGTGGAAACCAAGGTTTAGAGATTAATTCAAAATCACACAGCCAATTATGGCAAAATATCCAAAGACAGATAAAAAAGAAACACTATTGGTTTAAAGATTATCGACTTTTTTTTTTTTTTTTTTTTTTTTTGAGTCAGGGTCTGGCTCTGCCACTGGGGCTGGCCTCAAACTCCTGGGCTCAAGCTAAAAACAACCCATTTTCAAAAATGAAAACCCCGTTTCTAGAGTCACTTTCAAGCCACTTACTGAGCATCACTTTTCAAGCATTCTTCTTTTACCCGAGCATACTCCTGATGAGTATCCTGATACAACTTTAGAGAACTCTAAAAAGAAAGAGATAAATATTATCAAGCTCAAAGTCACTAACCATTAGCCATAACTTGTTTTGATCTCGATAACCTAAATTATCATCCTTTAACACTGTGAAATTAACCAAATACATTAGGCAGGAAATCCAAGCATAATTTACTGAACATTTTCATGTACATAATCAGATTCTTAATAGAAGCAATATTACTAATACTATAATCAAACAAAAACTATAAAACCTAAAATAATATACTAATTTTGCAGTAATTCTAAATCTTCCTAATAGTTGGTTTAAATATCAGATAACTAATATTTTTCTCAGAACCAATTAAAATCAATATAACCTAAATAAATTTTAGAGCTTAAAAAATATTAGTTATCTGTACAGCCATAGAAAATATAGAACAAATCATTATACTTAACAATAATTGGGGAAAATGTGCAAACAACGCACTAACGAAATGAGAGAGACCCTATTATTGAGAGCTCTGTTATGTATATGATATTTCTGAGAGAGAAGCTTTACCAACTCTTTTCTACATAGGAGTTGGAAGGTCTGACTTACTCTTCCAAAGTCACAGTGACTAACTAATTTGGGTTTATTATTAAGGTTTAACTCTAATTATCATTAAGGTTTGACTCCAGTGCTCATGTTTCCTCTCAAATATAGCTGAAGAGATTGTAGAATCAGGGTGGACATGACCGAATATTTTGATTAACTTTGACAACATGACTATCTAACAATTTCTATCTAATAGGAAAGTAAATATGTCCTATCAAAGACCTGACACAGCTACACGTGACTCCTAAAATAGCACAGTCTGAGGAAGACTGAAAAGCACAGATATGCTTGTCAGAGGAGCTAGAGAAAACAGGTCAAGAAGTGAGCATCATTTCTGAGTGGCTACAGCTGGCCTCACTCAAACCTCCTAAATTTATGGACTTCAGATGTTTCTATCTATAAAGGCAATGAATTTTCTTCTAAGATTTCTGTAAGAAATAAACAAAAATTTATGTAGAAAATCAGTTCTATAGCATTTTAAACAAATTCTTTACTACAATTTGACTTTGAAAAGAAGAGCCTCCGTGTACAGATACATTTATCAGTTTTCACAGCTGAAGTGGACGTCTTCTCCCAGCACCCATCTCAGCTCGTCAGCACCTCCCAGAGAGATCAAACACATCACCCTCCAAAGTACAGGAAAGAACCTCCAACCTGATGCTTTCTCATAGGCCCCTGTGGTGTATTAGTGAAAGACTCTCATTTTGTCTCCTCATAGACAATGAGAAACTGCAAGGACCAAACACGATTATGAGAAAGAATCACATCAAAGCTGGCAGGGTTCCAGAGTAACCCTTGCTTAAGGAAGGGACTAGTCTGAGTTCATGAGAGCAGGTTCTGTAAAGGACACCTTCATGCAGACCAAGGCAGAGCCCTAAGTGTTTCATTTACCACTGTGTTCGCCAGGGCTGGACCAGAGCCACCGACGAATCAGATTCTCTCCTGCACTCTCACACACAACTCCCCTACCTTTAAGATTTAAATTTTTGCATGTTATTTTACACTTCAGGCAAAAGAAATAGGAAAAAACAATTAATGCAAGATACATAAAAACATAAAAATTCGCAACTATAAGTTTTCTCTACTCATCCTCATCCTTCCCAAAAGCACAGCAGCTAACACAGTATTGCAAAGCTAACAATCACTGTCAAGACTAAGCCAATAACTAATTTATCCAGGATTCTCTGAGGATAGAAATACACTTAGAATATTTAACGAATATTTATTTCCTTTTTTAACCATATAAAAACTCCCCTTATCCCAATTACAGTGAATGAGCTGATCCTAATGTGTTGACTCTAAGGCTTTTCAGAAAAATAATTCCAGGCACCTTTTTTTCTTCTAGCTCTGCTTTTAAAGATCCCAGCTCTTCCTGACATTTCTGCAGAGGAGAAATTTTTTGAAGCATCTGTTCCACTTGGTGATGTAGGGTAGTATTCTCTCTAGAAAGGGACAGTGTATTAACATTATGTAAAAGTACCTATAATGCATTATTCAATATATATACAGATAATTTTAGATTTTACTTGTGACTTAGAACAAAAAAAGAAATGAAAAAAAATCTCTTTTTAAATGCATTCCCTCTATTCATACCAACATAATCGTCATATTTCTTTACATTTCTTAGGCACTGTAGTCTATTTAGTCTATTCAGATACACATACACCAAGATGCAACTTGAAAAATGAGCACAGGAGATGCTCAACTGCTGCAGAGCTCCTTACAGGGTAACCTGCCGAGAAGCTCGGCTCTTCCAATTCTGAACTCACTCCCGTTTATTCAAAGTAAGTGCCAAACAATTTAGTGATGTAGTTTATAACCATGTTTTGCCTTCTTCTAAGTGACAGATGTAATCAGAGTATGAAATACTGCCAACATTTTAAGTAAGCCTGTTTTAAATTGTTTAAATTATCTGAATGGCAGTGCTGTCAGTAAAAGTTATTGAAAAGTGAAACACCAGGTTGTAATTTAAGACATTAGTAAAAAATTCATTTGAACAATTTGATAGGAAAATGCAAATCTTCTTTTCATAAGCATCAAAGCAACACTCTATATTATGGGTCAATCCTACATACATTTCATCTGAATTCACTTAAAAATCCACTCTGATAAATGTCTACCTCAAACCAACTACTCAGACAGCTGGTATCATCAACTGTGGAAACAGGCTGGCTTACCTTCTTGCAAACTGCAGCTGTATAACTTATTAAAGAAAACTCTGAGAATTTTATCTTTGGATATTTGTCCTGAGCTATACAATAAGTACAATTATCATTAGTAATCAATATTCAATGTATGTACAAGAAAGATCATAAAAACATCCTAAAAACTGATGTTCAAAGTTCCATGTACACAAAAGTAAGTCTTTTTACTGAGTTACTCCTTTACCATAACATCCATCAAAAGTTAAAACATTTACTTCTCTAAATAAAAAAGTTCTTGGAATATATTAATTAGAATTAAATTACAAAAATAAAGACAAATCAATATGCAAATAATAGAAAATACCTTGATTTCTTCTATATAGATCAGAATCCCCAACCTGTCCTTTATTTATCAAATAGTCCAAAGAATAATTCCAGCAAGTTATGTCTTACAAAAACCATATATACCGACACTTTACAATTAGAAAAGAAAGACTTCCTTTCAGGGATCAATTCTACAGTTTGTCACAATTAGAAAAGATATACAGAGACATTATAAAAACTACACAAGCCCTCAGTTTTATAATTTATACAATCTGATAAACTCATTTTTCCATCTCATACTGCCAGTAAATTATTCTAAGGTAGCAAAATATAATTCCTTTAAGTTTCATCTCTTATGAGTTCCTATGAGTATATCATAATACAGCACATGCCTATTCCTAAAAAATGTATCTGGATCCTCCTCCATTAGAAGGTAAGCTTCTCAAGGTGAAGAACTATACCATATTCATCCTAAATTACAGCAGTCTTTGCAGAATAGAAAAGTTCAAAAAAAATCTGACAAAATAAAATATCTCTATTTAGAAAAAAGTGAGAATGAACAAGAAAATATCTAAAATCACATCCTCAGGACAAATGAGGAAAAAAAAACCTCCTCATTTAAAAAACTTATAAGATCTTAAGAAAATCAAAAACAAAAGCATAATAGACTGTTAGATCTCCTTATTTTAAAACTTATCATTAGACATCCATTAACAGTGGACTAGCAGTTTACTGTGCTTGGGAGAAGCATTCCCTACTTAAGCTGTAAATAATCCTTCCAAAAGATAGGTATAAAAACGATTCTCACATATCTTTTACAAATTAAGATATAAGTTAATTCTAAAATTCAACAGAAAAAGCCAGTAAAAGGATATCATCACATTTCTTCTGATATTCTGTTAACAAATTACTGTAACAAAGAAAAGAAGAATTAGGTTACTTTTTTATCTAGAAAATAGTCTATGTTAAAATCACATTTCAAAACATGCAAGGTACCCTGTCTTCCTGGATTTCCTAAAACAAGTTTATGCTAAATTACTATATATCACCCTAAATTCCTCAAAAGCATTATACTGATATATAAGCTCTTAATATAAAATCCTTTTGATCTGAGTAATATCTTTGCCTATAAATATATTATAATTTTTTAAGAAATTAAATTCTACACATGGTTATGAAATATTATGAGAAGTGTGAGGTCCAGCCCCAAAGTTAAGGTTTTAAACACTGAAAAAAATTTTTTTAAAAATTCCACTTTAGCTGTAATTACTTCTTGCCAACTCCTAAGCCTCGTTTTAAAGGCTTATAAACCATAAACCAAAGGTCCCCACCACTGAAGAGGCTCACTGGCACTCTGATTATAGTCAGCAGCACCAAAGCCTCCACACCACATTTCAGGGACCTAAAAACACCCTTCAGCCAGTCTGTCAGGTTTACAAAATTCTGCCAAACAAATACAAATATACTTACTCCGTATTGATAATTTTTTGTTTCAAGGTAATTAATGCGTCAACATATTCATTCAGATTCTGAAATACAAAAAACCACAGTCAGCTATTCATGTCTTTATCACACATAATTAAATATAATTATATTCTGTAACATCTATGAAATATAAACGTCTTGGCTCACTACATTAAAGTACATAAATCTTTCACGTATACTGTATATAACAGACGATCTGAGCCGAGCTTCTGCTCCTCTCTCGACCTGGCTCCTGATCTGGATGTAGTACTCCCTCCGACAGCAAGGAGCTGGGAAGAGCCTTCACTGTGTGCACTTGGTCACATCAACTATTTTAGTTCACTGACCAATTACTAAGCATCAGTCTTCACCCGGCATTGTTTCTGAAAGCACTTAAAACTATCCCCCAAAAGACACACACATTGTAAAAAAAATAGCAACAATAAAATGAAATAAAATGGGGAGAGATGAGTAGGAATATTACAATGGTGCCAAGATTAAGTAAAAAGAATTCATTTTACAAAGATTTATACCACACTGTGGGGACCAACCACAGACTTAGCTCTAAATTACTGCTATTGACACAAAAGGGGAAACACCATTAGCTATACTGTTCGATGTCAAAAGGTTTAAAAATAAGCTCATTTTTCTTTACTTTAACTGACTTCTTCCCACTGATGTCTCCTTTTTTTATTGTCAATGAATACTTCAGAAATAAGAACTTACTTTTAAACATAACCACAATAGCCTTTTCACACCAAACGCAAGTATTAACATCATCCAGCCTTGCTGAATTTTCACTGATTATTCCCAAAATGTATTTTTCTAGACAACACAAATGATTTTGATAATTACAATATTTCCCTTTAGGACATTCTCTGCATTGTCGTAGTTACATCTGTAATATATGTATTTAAAAATCTACACCTAAAATATAAAGAGTAAAAATTACGGCTTCCTCTGGAGTCCTGCCACCTGTTAAAAATCACTCTTAAATTTTTCGTTACCTTTCAGAACTGTCACCACATACGTAAATCCATTTGGATGTACTAAATTCGCCAGTTTTCTGTTGAAGGATACTTAGGTCCCTTTTTAGTCTTTACTAAGAAAATACAATGAATTTTCTTGCCCATTCCTTTGTACAACATTTCTATTTTTCCTTTGAATAAAGTCCAAATAGTGGCACTGCCGGGCCAGAGCGTGTGCTGAGATGTTTAGTGCAGGTCCTTAGCGGCGGGCTGCACTCTGGAGGTCAGCCGTGCTCACACACAGCGCCGATGTTTCCAGCAACTTTACCAGCTCTCTCCACAAGTGACAGTTGGAATCTTTGATAATCTCAGAGATACTTTTCATTAATAAATATTAGTGATATTGAGAAATCTTCATCTCGTCTTGCTATTCATGTTTTTACTTTATTATTGGCCTGTTAACATCATTGGCTCATTATACTCTTATATTTGAGACACAGTAACCTCTCACCAAAGGTTACAAATATATCCATGTTTGTCAACTGATCCTTAAAATAAACCCATGCATGCATGCAAGTTTTTAAAATTTATACAGTTCAATATGTCTTTGCAAAAACCTGTTTCCTGACATAAAGTTTAGAAGTTTCCATCCCACCCAGGATGGCAAAAGAAAAGGAGCCGTGCATACGTTATTGTTCTCGTGCTTCATGGTCTCAATGTCTTGTATGTAACATCTGTCGTTTTTAGTATTTAGTTTTATGTGTACTATGATACAGACTCTAAAAATGTTATAAATCAAAAAGACAATAGACTAGTCAATAGCATTTGTGTGTTTGGCTTTCCATATCTAAAACAAATCTTTCATTATATACAGAATAAATTGTACAGCCTATAGGGATAAAGTTTTAATACTACCAGGCAAAAAACAGGATAATACCTTTACTACTTCAAGGCAGACAAAGATTTTTAAAATTATATGTCAAAGCATGAGTGTGTTGATGAGGCATCACATTTAAGGATGTCAAAATTTTAACTTTTACATACTCAATACTAGGAATACAATAGTCTTGTATTTATAAAATATAAAGGAAATAATCCATAATATATAAATTACTCTCACAGAACAGTTTCACAAGTACAGATAATTAGTCTTAAAAAGTAACAAATATGGCTCGGCGCCTATAGCTCAACCGGCTAAGGCACCAGCCACGTACACCTAAGGTGGCGGGTTCGAATCCCCAGCCCCGGCCCCCCAAACAACAA